AAAGTTCACCTATTCAAAAGTACTAGTGTCTTTCAAAATGATTAGTGGAAACTCATACCACTTCCACAGACTTTCTGGCATTCATCTTTGTCTTTGAAGCGATTTGCATTCCCACCGGATCCCAGGAAGGTGAATGGTTGACAGGATAACGTGGACTCCTCAAAGTACCACCTAAACGATTAGTTCATAGCATAGATAGGCAAATAAGGGTACGTCAATCAGAAAACTAACATTTTTTGCGCAATACCACCTGAGACACCTTTGTCCGGCGATAGCTCGCATGGATTTGTACCAATCCATCGAGTTGTCATATCCTCAGGGTTGTTATCCGTCGTGATTTTCAAAGTTATTGTCTCAGGGACCTCCTCTTGAGTTGTTGTGCTTGGTGTAGCAACTTTTGTCGTTTCTACAGCTGAATATTCGCCTTATTAGTTGCAGCTTGAAGAAATCGCGCTCTAAGTAAACTACGCACTCGCAGTGGAGGTTGTAGTAACATTTGGTAAATGGGTTGTGGTTGACTCAAACGATCTCATTGTGGTAGGGTTTGGCTTCCTCGGGATTAATGTTGAAGTCACCTTAGCAGAAATGCCCTTCTGTAACAAGAAAGCACAAAATTTTCCTTTTGATTAAAACGGCAAAAGGAGACAAACCGCAGTTGTTGTGGGTAAAGTTTTAGAAGAAACTGTTTTATTCACTTTCTTGTTCTTAGATACCATTGCATCCTTGGGTACACTCACTGCTGGTTCTCCTGCTCCTAAAAATGCTGGATGACTTTGTCTATTGCAAAACATGTCGACAGAATCAAATGCTGGGACAGTTATCTCGATAGTTGGGAGAGGTATGAAAGAATATTTGAAAAGTGCGAAGGATACGCTCGTTTCTGCAGAAAAAAACTTCATTTGAAATAAAATTCGGTCACGAAGCGTCGCATTATCACATAAGATATTCATTTATAAACTATATATGGAGGAGATGGGGAGGTATAGTTATGCTATAAGCTCCCTATACAAAGTTTCGGACAGGGGTGCGATGTTGACTTCCTACCGTATCTACCGTAGACCTTGGATGTTGCTGTAATGTAGCATGTCTTAAGATTCTTCTAGACAAGTGTTCGTTATAAAATGTTTCGCTCTTCCTTATAAAAGATCTAGA